CTCTTCGGATTTATGGTCTACAGAAGACACATATTTCTTCTATGTGACATGATGTACATCCAGCAGGAGCCAGGAAGAGGAAGCTCAACTGTAGCTCTGATGTCCGAACAGCGAGACGCACATGGAGACGATGCTCCATTTTTAGTTGTTTCTAGAATCTCAAAGAAGTTTCCCACTTCTCATCTTGTAATACGCCAATTGAAAAGCTGCAAATAAAGTAGAAAAAGCAAGGGAGGATGGAGCAAATGGAGGGAGAAACAATCCTGCCCCGGCACACAAAGGCATTTCAGGTCTCCAAGAAAATAGGCTGCAGATGTTTCTGCCCAAATGTGGGGAGGTAATGTTTACAACTCAGTACACCTTGTGTCAAATTGGTGCCAGGAACATGACCTTGTTTCTGCTTACTGGTTTTACATTGTAGAAAATTACCAGTCAGGCAGAAAAATTAAACCTGGTTCATTATTCACAATAGAGTTTTCACTTTCAAATCACACACGCTGTATTCAAATGTCAGTGAGTGTGGCTGGTCTATGGCACTTCAGTCAGTGGTGATGGTGCTGCTTTACAGGAGGATTTGTCAAACACTGTATAATTGGATCATTTACACTGTCACTGTTGGGGGTTTTGGTTTAGGATGGGAAAGTTGACAAATTGCTGCTTTGAGGGGACACACGTTGCATCCCACTGTCGTTTCTACCCACACATCACCTTGATTTATGGCTCGGAGCACAGCTGTGGCCAGAAGCAGTGGTAATAGTAAGCACACCACCCTGATGTCACTGAATGGTTTGTGAGTTGGCACTTTCCAGGCTTAAGTTTTGTAATTTGGCCAAATTCCCTTTTTTTTTAACCAGAAAGGCCATATTTGGGGGAAAGGTTAGAGTTGAAGAACATGAAGCCAAACTTGATATCTTCTGTCACATTATGATTGATTGGATAATGTGTAAGATATATATATATATATATATAATACAAAAACATATTCAAAGTGTGTATAGTGCCCCCTAAAGGTCACTAAAGAAAATACATACTGGAGGCATTTCTTCACTGGCTTTGCATCGCTGACTTAACTACACTACATCAGTTTTATGTCCCATTTAGGGGACAATCCTAATTCATGTTTCTATCAGCTACACATTAGACACAATTGGACTTTGCCTTAATAATGGGCTTCTTGTCATTATGTGTAGTTCACTAACAAAAAACCCAACTGTGAACAGAGCCGGTTGGCAGGGTAAAACTGTAATTTTCAAGTTGCTCCTGGGCCAGAACACAGCCAGACTAAGTATTTCCTGTGTAAGTGAGTTATGCTGAGTTAAATGAATCACCTGCTGGCTCTAGTTCTCTTGTTTACTGTAAGGCATTTGAAAATTTGAGCTTAATCTGCAAATGTCCAACCAGCACAGAAAAAAAACAGATTTCTGGGTTTTTGTGGATTAAAGGTGAAACATGGAATTACTTGTAGAAAAAATATATTTGCAAATATTTGATTTAATCTTATTTGGAGATTTGTATCTCCAGATCTTTGTGCAACCATTTGGTCAGTGGGTCATCCTGGAAATGTGCATTAGAACCATTCAGAATTTAAAAATGACCCAGAGAATATAGACAATGCAATAACAAGAAAATACAGCGACCGTAATATCAGTCAAAAAGCCTCGCCAGTGTAAACATTCCGTAGTGTGGAAAATATATTTCTCAACATAAAACACATCTGTCTTGCAGACCGTTGATACTAGGAGTCAAACAACAGCAGAGGGAGGCTTTTCCTCCAAGTCGGCCAAATCTGGAACGACCTTGTCGCTGTGCTTCACCTGTGAACTCAATGGTCCGGGCAGCCGTCTGGGGGCTTCAGCTGCTGCCACACACACTCAGAGTCACCCTTCAGTCACCCCATGGGTTGTAAAACAAGCTGCTGCCATATGCCAACTATGGGTCACAGACATGTCGACTTCTTGCTTCTGTCACACATGACATGCACACAGCAATATATATATATGTATGTTTATATATATATATATATATATATATATATATATATATATATATATATGTATGCATATATACTGTATATATTCTTGCACCTTTCAGCTCTTCACACTTAACCAAACCCAGAAATGCTGCCTAAAGAAGCAAAGAGATGCCAACTATACCCGACACTCACACTGGCTGACATGTGGACAGCAAAACAAAGGGCCAGCCTCTCACACGGCGCTACAACTGACATCAATCTCTCTTTAGGAATCCATAAAACATGTCGGTTATGGGCCAAAATGGAATGAATTGGTCAGTATATTCAAAATAAAATGTAAGAAGTCTTTGTTTGAGGAGTATAGTTTAAAAAAAACCTGAAACATTGAGGGTATAAGCAAAGAAACAAAACAAATGAAAAAAAGGCTAAAATGTGCATTTCAACAACTGAAAAGTAACATTTAAAGGTTAATTTAATGCTTTTTGTTTAGACTTAATTAACTAACATTAATTTATGTTTGTTAATTTAGTTATTGAAATGGGTAAAAAGTGACATATAAAAAATAAGAAAAATTAAATTTTACCCTATTTATCACCAATATAACACTGCCTTCCAGTTCATTGCATTGCATTGAAATCCAACGAAGTTTCCGTGAGGTTACCCACAATCAGAAAAAAATACTCATACTTGATTCGAAACAACAGTAGTATCCACCATTTTCATGGTCTTTTCAAGGCCATTGTGGGAAAATGACCCTTGGCGAATTTAAAAACAATGTTCCTGATTTCAGGAAATCAAATAATTACTGACCAACTATTACCAGCACTTTTTCTATTTTCCCCTTTTTTATTGAGTTTATTCTCTGTGAGGATTGTTCTTCATTCTTTATGTGTACATGCAGTTCTGTTCGCCATGTCTTTGATGGATGTATGCAGCTGGATGTTAGGAAGCTTCACTGCCAAAAAAGCTTTTTAAACACTTTTTCTAAGCTCTTTTATTTAACACCTAGCCCTGTGTGTGTTTACAAACCGTGTCAAACATTCACATACCCCCTCCAAACAGGGTCGGTAGGCAAAAGAGACAACGTCAACTGGGTCTGTTTTGCATTAGCATGTGGCTTAGCAGTTTGCCTCCATCTTCCTCGGGGAGGGAGGAAGAAAAATCCCAAAAACATCCATAGTAATCAATCTGATGAAACCAAACAGCAGTGTACAAGGAGGACATGGCAGTAAACAACATTTAACTCAGCTGGGTTCTCGTCTGGTCACCACAGGGAGTGAATAAGATGTGACCATGTTTTACTAACATTTATCTTTCACTTTAAACTGTGAACCTCAAACAGCAACATGTCAGAATTCATTTAGTGACTTTGGGCAGAGGGATGATTCTCTTGGTGGTGTCTCTGGGGAGTTTAAATGTTTAATAAATGCATCTCTATTCACAATAATTGAGTCCCATCCAAATGCACGCTGTGCCTTTGTAAGCCACTCAAGCTGTGTGCAGTATATGCTTTCAACAGATCATTGGTGTTTGCATAAGAACACAGATAAAAGCTGCACACAAAATGTCTGGGCCTCACTTTTCTAAAAGGTCTATCCTGCCAATAAATATCTTTAATGTTCTTCCTTCGGCTGTGATGACGTTGAACATAAACATGTACTTACACCTTCATATAATGTCTGAGTTTCTTCCCCACTTGGAAACACTACGACATCATTTATTGTGTGCAAACACAATCTGTTTCCAGCCAGTGCACGTTGTAAATCTGGGACTCCACCTCTGCCTCCCAATGTCCCTCTTGGGACACCACACCTTTCTGATGAGACATTAAAAACCAGTCTTATGACTGGACATTTGTACCTGAGAACAGCAACTCAGCAACTCTGCTCTCCACTGTCACTTCCACCTTCTGCTCTGTGGGCTAATTTACACTCGTGCAGCCACTCTGGCGCAGACCCCCACAGGGGGCGCACATCCTGTTAGCAGACACAGAGGTGTTTATGGTCAGCATGGCAACATGTATGTCTGCATGCTCCAGGCAATTAGAAAGCTAACAAAGGAAGTAGTCTGTGGTTTTCTAGAAAAAAAAGTTTTTACTTTGGCACACCTATTGCTCTGCACGTTCGGCAAGGAAACAGTGATGATATGGTATACAAAGTGTTGAGACGACTTTTGAAGCCCTTTTACATTACCTGCTAACTTTAGCTTTATATACCCACATTAAACATGTCATACAGTACTATAATTTACATCTGTTGCACATTTTTTCTGCAAATCCTGCAGATATGGTGCATCTTAGGTTGCTGTCAAATGAAACCTAGTAACTTCACTGTACTGTCACTGTAAACCATAGATGTAGAATTAATGGCACTGTGAGAGGGTGGTTAGTGCTCTTGTCATGCAGCAAAAAGGTCATTGGTTCAATGCCTGGTTTTCTTTTAGATACCACAGTCCACAGTCGTAAACAGGCTAATTATTTTCTCTAAATCAACCATATTTGCCCCTGAGCGCTTAAGGTACCCGTCTGCTCACTTTGGTGATGAGTAACATGAGGTCACATTTTGTTGTGTGCAGTGGTGTGCTGTGTCACAATGACAAGTAATTCATTTTCACTTTCATATGTGTGAGTATGAGTGTGAGTGTGCAGAGTACTGCCAGGAATTCTGGGCCGCATGGAAGGATATGACAATGTGCCCCTATGCAACACATGTAAGAACATGAATATGCTTCTACACTGTGTAGAATTCACTATTATTATTATTATTCATTTAACATAATGGGTTGATAAATTATATAATATTTTGGGTCCCTATCAATTAATGTGACAGATAAATGCATCGACAATAACGTTAGCCCACCAAAACCTACTTACTACTGTAAGTAACCTATTACTTACTTGCTATCCCGTGGACTGAGTGGTGTACCATTAGCCAAACATGTTAAGTATAAAAAGAATAAGTAATGAGATGGAAAACATCCTCATTGGCCCAAACATTTGTGTTGGCAGCTGCTCAACTTGAGTCGTCACCATTAGCTTGAGGCTAATATCATCACCTAACAAGGAAATGTCAGTAGATTCATAAAACCATTGGGATCTTCAAAGTCAACACATTGCAAGATCTCAATGGGGAAACAATCAGTTGAGGTTACGTTGGTCAAAACAACACATTTATTGTTTCCTCTGTGGACCAGCTGCTAGTTCCTCTGCAAGGAGTCACTGGCAACACGCAAAAAAGACACATTCTCAGGTGCTGTTGCTCCCCAAAGTAGTGGTGATTACAAGGTTTTAAACAATGGACAATTACTGCCAAATGTGAACAGATACTCACAGGCACATATGATGTGCATCTGTCACGGCAAAAAAGGACAGAAGCCCAGCTATCACAGGATTTATTTCATCATCTGTCGTCAAGACGACGTCCTTCATGACAGATGAGCAATTGTGAAAGACGGACAAGTTTATGTATGGTTTCTACAGGGTCTGTTTGTGCTGTTTGTGATCTGTTTTTGTTTATTTTTTTATTTTTTCACACAATGACTGGGAAGCATTCAGCATAGCTAACCACACACGCAAACATCTTGTCATTATGTTTGGTTTTGCAGAAGGTGGGAAGAGAAAACACAGATGAGTACAGGCTCCAAGCTTCTGTCCTCATGGAGGTTTCTGGTGTCCGCTGATAGGAGCCCCTGCCTGAGGACAGAAAAATAAACTGTAAGCAATGATGACCAAAAAACATAAGCCTCAAGTATGTGCATGGGCCAATCAGACTGCACGTCACAGCAATCAGACTGGTTTTGATTTTATAACAGAGATATGATGCTATAGTGGACCAAACAAAAACAAAATCTGTTTTCCCTTTCCAGCAATCACTTTGACTCTCTATCCTGGTAGGGGACGTGGGGGCAGTCGCTGGGGAAATGGTGGACAGACTGCCAGTCCAATACATGATCATGTGCACAAACAACTTCAATTCTAGTTGACCCTAAACATAATCTGTTTGTGAAGGTTCAGCAAAACCAAACGGCTCTTGAAGAAAACCATTGAACATGCAGACTTACCAACTGAACAGAAAGTGAGTGGAGCTTTAACAACAATAGTCCACTGTGTTACATAACTGAGAAACACTGATTTCATGTTTCAGCTTTCAGATTAACCCACACACATATACATGTGTGTCATTAATGTATTAATCTTATTTTGTCAATGTGTGTTTCTGAAGTCAGTCGCTTCAGGAAGCAGGATGTTTTTCTTCTGATCAATATGTCCAATAATTATTTATATTCACAGACTGTGAATCTACTGTTTGTGTCTGAATTAGTGGTGTCTTTTGTCATCACAGTTGCCCTAATGTCTCCGGCAGTCCCTGCACCTCCAGCTAAATTTCCTCCTTCTCTCTCGGCTCTGAGGGGTTCTTCTGTTCATCTGCACTCAATCAGAATAATTATCCCAAGAAATCCATTTCAGAGCTCATGAGAGGTGAGGGGAACGAAGCACATAGGCTATTGGCAATCGCCTCCCCCCTCAGTCATTATTAGTCATCTCGCGGCTGCTGCTTCGGACAAGGACTGTTTGGGAAGAAGCCATGTGCAGCCGACAGACAAGAACTGAAGAGGCCTGATGTGACTCCGGTGTATAGAAACTACAGTATCAGTGATCTCTGAAGGTTCTGGCAGTACATCAGCTCCGCCGGGGACTGGCGGCCGCTCTCTCACACTCACACACTCAAACGAGTATTAGTGTTATGTTACCTCTGTCAGGCTTCCTCTTAACCACAGACTTGAAAAACTAACACTAAAGATGTCATTTTAAAATCCTAAAGCCTTTAAAAACAGCAGCCAGGAAAGACCTTATTTGAATGCTTGTTTGTGTAAAAAAAAAAAATCCTTCTGGATGATGACGCTTTTGAGACCCTGTCAGGATTTTTTTTTTTTTTTTTTTTTTTAAAGATTGGACTCTGATGCCCATGAAGTATCAATTTCTGAATGTTCTGGCAGCGCTGCAAGTCCACAGGGGGCTTGGCAGTTGTCCTCAGATGAATATCTCTGTGTTCTGAATTTAAATTTTACCTCTGAGATTTGGTTTTGTTCCTGGTCCAAAGGTTTTAAAAACAAGGGTCGATAGATACGCTTTCAGAAGTGTGTATCTCTGTGTGTACTCTAATTTGTAAAGGAGGACTAAGCACTGAGTAATCATGAAACAGATAACTGTATCAACTCATACTTTGACCTGAGCATGGCGCTAGTTAGACATCATGGAGTCATGTAACATATTGGCAAGGGTCCTCTGGGAACCTTGAAAAGATTTCATGAGTAAAACCACAAATAATGGACAAAATATGCGGTTGTTCCCATGGACTGTTTATAAATAATTGACGTAGTCTCCAGGTCTGGAAAGTGACGCCAAATCGGAAGCGCCTGAAACATGTGGAGGGGTTTGCAGTAGGTTCCAGAAGAAGGTCTGTTTCTATGTGGATCTATGAGAAAATGAATTCACTTCTTGTTTGATTGATAACATCAGTAAACGCTTTCCTCAAGAGGGGTTTATCTCTGGTTTGGGGTCTTCTTCAATACAGCATGACATCCAGTCGATCATGAATTCATTTGGAGTCAAGATTGCAAACACAAGTAGAGAACGGAGTTGTGGCACTTCGAGAAATGCTCTGAGATGATGCAATTGAGCGACTGCACATGTGCATATTTGCTTATACGGGGGGCAAATACTGTAACGGACAAACTTATGACTCTTCATGTCGGCCTTACATCTGCCAAGCAAGAGTTGTAAGATTAAAAAATCACTAATCCATCGTCACCGAAATGAAATGTTGACGTTTTGAAAAGCGGACTGTTATGGAAACTGATGTTTAGAGGCAGCGGATTGTGAGACATCTCTCGGGCTTAGCTAAGACTTTGCACTCATGCAACCTTTAACTGACAGACGATGATCACGCTCTATGAAGTTTAAGAGTTTTGGCTGTGACTCAATTCCAGCTGAGACTGTTTGTCACACCCAGATGATTTTGAGCTCATGCCTCAGTTTTTTCTCCTCAATTTTAATGCACGGACGTGTCCTTGTATAATTTTGAATTCTGTTAGGGAGGCCCTTGAAATATGTTTCTGCGAGAACCCATAAAAACAAACAGCAGGTCAATTCTTTCAATATGTACCTCACCAGAGATGCGTCAAATATTAAATTAAGCCAAAGATAATTACTCAATTTTTCCATCGATGATTCCCTAATTTCAACATCTGAAATGTGAGGATTTGTTGTGTTTCTTTTGCGATCAACATCAAACTGCTGGGAGTTTTCCTAATCCTCATAGACAAAACAATTAAGAAAATAACAGGCAGATTATTTGGAGAATAAAAACATTCTCTGCTCACATTCGCATTTGAGAGAACTGAGGAAATTAGAATTTGTCATGTTCCATATTTGTTGGCCAAACAGCTTTGACCATATCCTGAAAGAACATGCAGCTAACAGAAACACCCACGTAGACACATCTGTGCTGAATGAAATTCAAGGAACGTGAACTTTTCCTAAAGAGCTTTTTTTATTTCATGACATCCTTGCATCTATTTCAGAATGTTTAAGGACTTTTTTATGCAGAAACAAATGTTTATTGCACATACAGACTTTTAGAAGACAGAATTTAAAAAAAAAGTTAAACCTCGTTGAAGATCTTCTTGTACGTGTTTGTCTTCTCCACATGAGACTCCATTTCATCTAGATCCCAGGATGCAATTCTGCTTTAAAAGGAGAAGTGGGTTAAACATGCTGTTAAGAATCTTCAGGTTATGGAACAGATAGAGCAGCATATTAGGAAAGATATTTGTACCTGTCACAACTCTCTGTGTCCTGTGGGGGGCAACAGTGACTGTTCGTGGGTCTGTCGCCCCATAAACGTGTCCTAAATTTCTTGGCTTCCCTGTGCAGCGTGTTGACCTGTTGCAGAAGACCTTCTCTCTCCTCCAGCAGACCGTCTTTGAACCTGGACACAGACAGGAGGGCCGACTAAGAGATCTCTTAATGCACGATCAAAGCAACGTAATTTTAAACAGGTTTGAACAATAAAAGAAATTTACAGTCCGATGGTTTCTGATTAGGGCAGTTGTTAAACTCAGATGGTCTTAATGCACGGATTATGAGAAGTGGTGATGTGGCTGAGTGAACTACAAAGGGAAGACAAAATTAAAATCTGATCACACTGAAATTAAGGGAGCTTTTTATTACAGCGTGTCAAGTATCTCCAGAAAAGGATCCTGTAATATACAAGTGGGTTCAATGATACAGCAAAGTTGTTCACATGAACCAAATATACTCTATCTACTGGGGGTAAGGGTAGTATTTTTGTTGTGTAGATCACTGTAGAATTTGTGATTTGTAACTGTGCCTCCAATGTGACCTCAAAATGAGACTTTGTAAAGTTCATGTTGGCACATTATAGGCTAACGTCAGCCTTATTCTGCGGCTCCAGTCAGCCACCTACTGGTTCCTTTTGTAATGTCAAACAAAGAGAGAGAGAGAGAGAGAACCCAAAGAACACTGCACTCCCAGGGAAACACAATGTGGTAGTAAAGAAGACGCGGTACCTACTTTTTAACACAACACACCCAGTAGCGCTGTTGATGACACAGCCACTCAAACTGCTCTGCCGTCTGTTGTAGTTTCCGCAGGCTTCGCTCATTTTCCTGCTGCAGTACCATCACCTACAAAGAAAGTTAAAATATATTTAACAAAAAACAATTATAAAGAAAAAAAAATACAGGATATCAGGTCGTACAATCTGTGATTGCTGGTCACAAAAAACAAACAACGCTGCAGCCACTGCATCTGGAAAAGTTAAGCAAACCCAGAAAAGATGTTCTTTCTTTTCTTTTTTTCAGACTCCCAGAACTTTACAATAACTCACAAGCTTGCTGCATTGCAAACAAATCTTCTCAATAATTCATTTTCTCTCTCTATTTCTTTTTCTCCACGTTTGCTGTACTGTTGTTGTTTTTGGTTTGCAGAGATCTCAAAGAAAGGATATTTGCAGACCTGAATATTTGATGGACTGGTTGAACGCCGGGCCAGTAGGGGGAGTAAGCATCCCGAGCCAAATGTAAATGAGAAAAAACTCTAGACAGGTGAAGAACAAACTGAGGATAAACCTGGAAATGTGAAGTAGTTTTCTATCCGGTAAGGTTTTATTTATTAACCTGGCTTCACTACAATCACACAAAAACCATGAGGTTTCTACATTTTCAGAGAATAATTTTTCAAAGTGCAGTGGCAGATAGTAATTTACTGTTTTTAATTGGCACATGGAGGAACGGACCAAAATTAGCCCGAGACAGTGTTGCTGGTGTGAATCCACGGGGCTGTGCTGCCTTGATTCTACAGGAGTTGGCAAAGAGCCAGCAGCTTTCAGTCCAGCAACTCTCCAAATACATGTAGTTTAATAATGTCGGAGAAACGAACAGGGGTTCAAAACAAATGTGTAATCCTGCCATCTGCTGGGAGAATGAGAAAGTGCATGAGATTCGCTTTGGGAGAATGAGAAAGTGCATGAGATTCGATTTTATTTCTTTTTTAGTTAGTGACTTGTTCAGTGAATTGCTGACGTTTGTCAGTTGTTGTGATTGTCACTGCTACTTGAATTATTTTATGATGAATGATTGATTTTATCATTGGGACAGTAAAGTATATCTGTCTATCTATTTATGGCTTTGTTTTTAGATGCTTTTATCCTCTGTCCTTATTTCCTTGCATTCACCGTTATTTTCTACCTATCATCCTATATTTCTGTATGTCTACCGTTTTCAACACTAAAATTAAATCTTTAAGTAAAGGCAGTAAAAAAGAAACAACAACAATAATAAATGTTTACATTTGTATTCTGCTATTACAATGTACTTGAAAAATGATTTTTTTTTTAAATATTTTTAAAAATAAACTGCTTTCCATTTTACCTCTGTTTGATGGGCTGTGGTTAGATTCTTTACCTCCTCAGTCAGATCTTTGGTGATTTCCTGTAGCTCCTCTAACTCCATTGTCTTACTGTTGGTAATAAATACAAAGAATTATCTTAATTTGTTGAACAATACAGTATGTCATAGAGATAGGCCAAGATTTATGCCTTCAAAATGGTGCAAAAGTTTTTGCTCTTGTATTGTTGTGTTGGAGTTTTAATAATAATGGAAATCAAAAAGCAACACTGTTAAACTATAAGTCCATGCTCCAAAAATGTCTTTCTGATGTGTCTTTTAAATATTTGCATAAACTCACTCATGAATCTCTGCCTGGAGGCTCTCAGTCAGCTCTGCCCTGAGCTGGGCCTCAGCGTGCAGCTCTGCCCTGAGCTGGGCCTCAGCATGCAGCTCTTCCTGGAGGCTCTCAGCCTCAGCAGCTCTGTGATGTGCCTCGTCGTTCAGCTCCTCCACCAGACTCTCCAGCCTCACCTCAGAGCGCTGCAGACACATCAGCTCTGAGCCCACCTGCCACAGCAGATCGGCATTCTGGGAGCTGTCTTCCAGCAGCAGGACCACGTGTTGACGCAGTTTGACCACGAGTCGCTGCAGAACACACACATAATCTACTTGGTGAGACAGCTTCCTTTACATTTTATTTATGTCATACTTGAAATGGTAGAACAAGGAGTAAAAACTTTGGTATGAAGGGAAAAGAAAAGTGGTAGGAAATCTTGAAAAAAATCACTGGAAATTTGAACTATTATCCTCTTAAATGGTGGGATGATGGGCTTAATCACAGTCGGCATAGAAAAGTGTAAAATATAACATAAGCACAGGATTATGAATGTATTGAATATGTGAACATGTTGAGATTGGACACATTTCCAAATATACTCTAAGATATCTGCAGACTGCACAGTTTCTGTCAAACAAGCCTAGACCTGAACCCTCCATCAATTCTTTGGAAAGAAACTGTGAAGTGAGTCACACACATTAATCCCTCACACTCCCATACCAAGTCCACAACCAAAAGGTGTTTTCAATCTGGAGAGGAAAATTCAAGTCAAAGACATTTTTCCATTACATAAAAAAATAAGCTGATGTTCATTTTTCTCCTGTTATTTTTCTCATCCTTCTTTTGTCTTGTTAACATTTGGCTCTGTGCTTCTTAAAAACATAGAAATAAAAACCATCTGAGACAGAAAAAGAATAAAAATAAAACACTTTCAGTAGAAAACAGTTCACAGCTCACACCTGTGTAGCCGATGTGAAGCAGGCGAGAACCAAAAAGTCTGGTTGCCGCTGCCAAAACCTCCTCTGTATTCAAAGTATGTTACCACTGGCACCAAGAGTGAGCCTCGTTCTACTGCAATCACTGTAATTGTGGTAAAACTAGGCTGATTGGTTTGGTTATGGCTGTGTTTGTTCAAATGAAACACCACAAAGGTAAATTACACAAACGTAATAAAGAAACTCCCAGGAAGAGTTAAACGACTTCATATGGAACTTGAAGTTATAAAAATGTCAAACACTAAAAAGCAGCGTATATATAAACCTGCTGTTGGTTCACACTGAGTTCACTTGACATGCCGTATGCATTTAGAGTCTTAGTAACAGTAAATTAAAGTTGGTTACCAAACATTTTGTTGGTGTTGATTTTATTTCATTGGTTTACTTTTTGGTAACACTTTAATTCTGTATTGTAAAGACTAGATCAGTGTTTCCTAACCTTTTTTGAGCCACATATATATATCATCACATGTACTCCAGTTTAGTTGAAAACAATGTTGATATACTGGCAGGAATTGAAGAAAGACACTCAGAAAGATCTTCAACAGCTCTGATTATCTTTTTCTAGTTTAATAATAATCTGCTGCCACTTAGAGGAAGAGAATTTAATTGCTTTTCTGTCACGCATTGACAAAAAAAATATTTGCAATAAATAAATAATAGTTTTGGGACCAATTAAGTGACATTGGATAATTTTCCACGGCACAGTGGTTGGGAATCACTGGACTAGATCTAGTCTCTATCACAAGGATAATATTGACACAATTATACATTTATGAATTATTTAAAAATATAAATTTATAATTTATTGTTCAATAAAACATACGTGGATTATCCTGTACTTTTTGTTGTAGTTACCTGTTGCTGGTGGATCCTGGTGATGAGCTGGTTCTCCTTCCTCCTCAGCTCCGTGTTCAGCTGCTCCTGCTGGACTAGTCGTGTGGTCACAGTGTTCAGGTCGTTCAGCAGCTTCCTCTCCCTCTCACTGGACAAGAGGAACTCTCTGTCCACAACCGCTGCAAAACAATATGAAATAATGAGATAATGTCAGGTAAGGTAAACATTTATTAATCCAACAATTTATATGTAGCAGTACACGGACAACAACTAGATGTTATGTAATCGGAAAGGATCAGAAAGAACTCATTGACAAATAATGAGTATATATAAACATTTACTTTACTTTACTTTATTAGAGGCACTGAAGAAGCTCCGTAATGGTTTTGGGCTCAATATCAGCCAGTGATGAAATTAAGCCAGGTTTGATTTAAAATATGATTTCAAGTATATTTGAATAGTCACAATATAGTATGAGTCAAATAATGTAAGTTGCAAAATAACATTCAACCTTTTGTGACACCATAACATCGAGCAGTGCAGATTAAACTCCACCTAACTTTTGTTACTTCTGACATAATCCTATGAAACTGTATGATTCTAAAAAGTCCTGAGAGGTTCTGACACCACACTAATACAGTCAATGTCTTAACAGAAGGAGAATGTATTATTTTTTGTGTGCAGTTAACAAAACAGAAGAATTGTTTAAAACAGTGCATTGGTTTAAAATCAATAAAAATTGAACAGAACAGCTCTCCCACTAGAGATGTTGACCCGAATAAGTACTTTTATAAAACTACAACTATAATTACAGAGTTTTTCTAAAGCAGTAGACAGGTGTTCTTAACAACTGTCAACTTGAAAGTAAAGTAAATTTAAACCTAATAACATTCAGAAAAGTGCAAAACTATACTGACGTCCACTCTTGTTCTGTAACCTACCTTTTTCATGAGCCAAGCGAGTGCACTTGGCCGTCAGATACTGGATCTGACTGTAATCCTCATCCCGCTGTGCTTTGAAAAACCTTCTCATGCTGCTCCTCATTTGAACCACACTTTCCTCAATTGTCTTTTTTTTTTCAAGACTTCTTCTACTTTACCATGGTTCTCAGGGCTGGTAGGGATGGTCCTTCATGGATAGGAAGATCTCAGTGTGTGCAGTTCCTGCCATATATATATTCCACCTTTACAATATCACACTGAAACATGCTCTGTACAAAGAGCACGTTTAAAAAAGCGTTCATCTAAGCTGCTGTCATAACATGGAGGTGAGATGTTCTGCTGCTGCTGTGTTCAGGCCTGATGTATGGTGGTTTGATGCCAACTGGCCCGCTGCTCGAATAAATACTGAACGTTATGAGTCATGTGCTAAATGGCTGAGTGTTCTGGCATTATATTCTGTTTGAAAACTCTCCCTTAAGGTTGTGCTGCTGCAGGTGAGAGTGGGTTAGAGAGAGAGAGCAAAGGCATGCCGTGTCTAGCAGGTGAGACGCTTCAATGCAGCCTCAGGTCAAGGCCTTTACTGGATTATAATGGATTGCAACTAATGAAGGATAACGTACTGGCATGCGCCTTCTGAATAAAGACTGTGTGTGTGTTGTCGTGGTTACACACATCAACCATTGCCTTACAATACAAAAAAGAAAAGGTCAAAAATAAGAAGCAAAATTGCAATCTAAAGGTATTTATGTCAGACTTGTTACCTTATAATATGGTTATAGTCTTAGGTGTTTCTTTGAGCTCTCTGATTCCTAATCAATATTGTTGTAGTATTGTATTCAAACCTTTGTTCAGATTTATTCAGATTGTTGTTGGATGGGGAAAAGGCTACATTTTATCTTCTTAGAATTGGCAGGTCAGCAAAAGGACCAGGAAATATGATCTTGTGTAATCGTTCTATTTTCTGCCAGTAGAGGGAGACAAAGTAACGTTTATTAATTTGTGACCTGGAATGTTATATTATAATAAAGTGGTATTTAACACATTTTTAATGAATACAATAATCAAGGTTGTCCTTAAAGTCAAAGGATACAGTATTTTCCAACAGGCAGCGATTACACATTTAAATTAAAATACTTTTTCAGTGTAAAAAAGTGAAACGTATTCAATATTTTAATAGAACTATTTTAAGAAAGCGTTGTGCTTTATTTCAAGCATTTAGAATAGTTTTAGCTTTTGTATGTAACCTTAGGTAATTTAATTATTTTCAAAGCAATTGCAGCTACAGTCACTTAAAAAGAGGATGTTCAAAAATGGTCTTTATTAAAAAAAAAGAAAATCACCATGCTTACTTCTGCTTCATGAACACAAAATTTCCAGATAGAAAATGGCGTTGAAAATCAGATACAGAGCATCTGCTTTGATATAAATACAAAAATCTTCCAATTATATGAGAAAAGAAATTAAAAACGAAAGATGCAATTTTAAAAACAGAAATACACAAAACGTTATTTGTCAACAGACAGTTCCCTGCTCCATCATCAGTGGCAGGTAAATCTACTTTTACTGAATTTTCTGTGGAGTAAAAGTGGAACTGTTTGACAACATGCACATTTATGTCAGTAGTTTTCAATATTAGCTTTTTTTTTCTTTTTAAACACTGCTTAGTTTCCAGCAGAAACACATAAGATGTCATGACTGTGCTTTTAATACAATCTATGCCTTTGCTAGGTCTCTGAGTCAATAAAGGGGGCAGATACGGTTAAAGTGTGTAGCTACAGCAGTGAATTCAGTTTCAGATTAAAATAAAAAAAATGAAACAATTATTTTTGCACAAATAACTTGAACAAAATGAAAAATGAACTTAAAGCATTGACAATGAAAATTGATTTTTTGAAAATTGTTTTCTGGTGGGCTGTTAAAATATTAATGAATAATCAGTTCTTTAAAAATACATTTTAACAAAACCGTTTCTAATTACTAGGTTTTACATCAAATCAGAAGAAATAGTTTTCTTTCTTCCAAAAGATCACATTTTCTTAAACCTCTCCCGAAAACAAACATGAATTACAATTGAAATCTAAAGCATTGGGGCCAATGCTTAACTCTCCACTTTGGTGAGATGCTCAAATTCTTTTTTTTTTCAAATGCAGTTAAACTGTCAGATGGATGTTTCGTTTTGATCTTGAAACTGATGCGGTCAGGAAATGTGACTAACATTTGAAGAACAACTCTTGACCTAATGGAGCTTAGACTCTTACTTTGAAAGAGTCAGAGCAGAGTGGTCACATGAGAAGGCTTAAGGTTTCTTAGCAGCTAACCAGGTCTTCTTTAAAAAGCAACTCCCCGCTTACGTAGCATGACTGACTTGAGCTAATCCTACGCTAGCGGCTTGCTACTAAAAGCTTTCCATGCTGACTTGACCCTGACACAGTGAGCCCAAGCGCTCAATACGAGAGAAAAAGGGCTCAGAGATACTAATAAGACGGTGGATAATCAGCCTGCATCTAGTTGTGCACATGGGAAATCACAGTCAACTGAATTTTCTCTCTGTCTTCAAAGAGGAAACAATAAGAAAAATGTTATGGGAAAAAGAAAATCAATGAAAGTTGTGTCTGGTTGGCTGCACTACTTCCACACACACTGACTTGTTTTATTAGTTTCACAGCTTAAGGACTTTAGCATAACAGGGAAACAAAAATCTGCACGTAATCTGCTAAAATGTGCTATCATTTGAAAAGAAAAAATCTGAAAATGTTAAACATTCCTTGTTTTCAGAAAAAGGTAAAATTTAGAATCGATTGACCCTCAAACTAGTAGAAATACAAACGTCGTCCTCACAGCGTTGAAAGATCAAATAAGGAGAAAAATGGACTCCGTTGTTTTGTTTTTTTTCTTAGGATTAACATTGTTTTCATGAGAACAATATTTGTATACAATGTTAAAAACAGAGGCAGCAACATGGAGGAAAGTCACAAACACAAGACATCAGAGAACCAAAGTCAACATGAGGTACGAGGTCAGGCTGAGGACCAGTGTTGTCTGCTCCACTGGTGTCAGTTCAGTTCAACATGATACAGGCAGTAAAAAAAAACAGCAATAAAAATAAAAAGGACCGTGTATTGCACTGGTTTGTTGTTGTCTATTGATGTGCGATGGTGGTCATCATCATAAATAACAAATACAAGAACAGAACGGTAATCTGAGAACAAGAACAATAATAATCATAATAATAAAACTAATAAAACAGTTCCAACCAAGTCGTGCCACCCCCTCGGCTGCTTTTACCACTGCTGCCAGCTGAAGTCATCGTTGGACCCGAAGACGAGGAAGAAGCCCAGGATGGTCCCAAAGATGACTACGTTGCCTGTTAGCACCAGCGCACATGCACCCCAGGCAATCTGTAAACAAACAACACAATGACTTATTCATGAACGACAACTAGGCCACAACCGGGCAGTGTGGAAAAGAAAAGAAAACAACGACAGATGAGGACACTGATGTACCAAAAACCTCCTAGGAAACAACTGCTGCAACGGTCAGCTCAGGTCAGTCCCCACGTATTGGGACTGATACCGGTATCGTACACTCAAACCTTTGCAGTCAGAGTTGTTACATAGTTTTAATCTTAATTCATTAATTAACTCTTAACTTACAACTTCAGCTCTGGCAAAGATGATTGGCAGACCGAAGGCTGAAATGACGATGCCTGTTGTGAGGAAGATGGCCAGCTCTTTGCAGGCATTACTGGTCGAGTCTGTGTCATCAACCACCCGCCGTGAAATGCAGTAAGGGATGGGTGACAGAATGTAGAAGAAGAGGAGGAACAAAGGCCAGTATTTGCTGCGGATACAGAAGAGGAGACAGAGTTGAATATTATGATTTTGCAAACAGCAAAACTGGAAATGAGCCTGAGATAAACTTGATGTTTGGAGGTTGTTGACTAATTCAGAAACTGATTCTGTGCAAGCCTCAAAAGATTGGAAATATTAATCAGTGTTTACTATTGATATAAAATCATAACAGTTGTAAAAGATGACATGAGTATTTGAGTAAGGCTGTGAAACTTTTTCCATCAGCGTAAGATGATTTGCTCAGCAGTTCTCTAAAACTGCAACAACTTGATGATGTTTTCTTCTCTATTTCAAACAAAGATAGATTGTTTGATAGTTTTTCAGAGTGTTAATTACTTTAGCTAAGCTGATCTGGCAGTCGCACTGATTTTACTTCTGCTGTTTTCTTCCTCTTTTAAACCTTACACCAACTGACCTTAGTAAGAAAAGTTCAGTGGGAAATGAGATTACATATAATCATCCCATAACAAAGAAACTGAAGTGCATTGATTTGAGAATTTTGCTCAAAAGCTAATAATAAAATGGGCAAAGTGGATAACTTTCAAAGCCTCATGTGGGGTTTAACTGGTGAGTGGTAATTTGTTTGTAGGAGAATAGGCACAAATGTCGCCATGTCTTCAAAGTATGGTCAAGTACATGCAGTAGTCCAGTCAAGATCTA